ACAACCATGGTGGCACCATCTACTGTGAGACATCTACTGTGTTGGATGTTCATGCATGATAAAGATTGTCACCCGTCTTCACGCCTAGTTGTTTACGTAACCCGAACACTCGGATGAGGACACCCGTGCTTCTGTGGCATTACTTATAGCCAGAAGCTAATGAATTGCTAAAAAGCATAGCTATGCTTAGCAATACTTTATCAAGATTTCTTTTATTTATACCTAATAACCACTACTGAGTAGCAATAAAGCATAAGGCTAGAGCACGAAATTCAGCACAAACTCTTCTTTAAATGTTTTTTAATGGCTTTTGTGACAAAAATGAAGGACAAGCTGTCTAACAGCAAATACTGTACAAAAAAATTATTAAAGCTACAAATCTTTAGCAAAACAAATAAAGTATATTTACAAATCCTGACACGCACTTAAAAAAAGAATTGACATAACTTGTGTATGCATTGTGTATTTCCCTGCTTACATTAAAAAAAAGCTATTTCTACTGTACAACACACTGTTATACTCCAAAAAAGAAACTACAGATATTAAATGTTAAAGAGGGTTATGGGTAAATTAGATCGTGTCTAAGATTAGAGGAATACTTTGTTCTGAAGCAATGATAGTACACAGACCAAAGAGATAACAGTATTTGCTTGCTGATTAAATAAATACACCATGTTACATCCTGAATAACAGTGCAGAGCTGAGAGGAATTATCTTTGTGAGCTTCAGGACCCAGACTTCTGCAAGGCATTTGTATGTTTTGTGAAGATGAAGGAAGATTTTACAGTTCATCAAACATATCAGCAACTGAGCATGTCCTGGAATTTCCATTGTAAGACAGTATAAATAAATATTGTGTCAAAAAGAAGGGCGTATCTCATAGACAGAGAATGAGAGGTTAGATAAACTAACCTTACGTTCACACTAGCAAGCAACAAGTCACCTATAATTTGTCGCTTATGGGTGTGCATTGTACAAAAGTTATTAGATTATAAGTCTAGCAAAGCAAGCTAACTACACTAGCTACAGTATACACTCATCAGCAGCACCAATGATCTCTGCAGCTTTATTCTAATCTTTAAATTTCTTCATAATGTGTCTATACACATTTAATGAGAGGTCGTATATGACACAGTAAGATGAAACCACAGTTATATGTTTTTCTCCCATTTTTGTGCATCAACCAGTAAATGAAAACTAATTGCAGGTAATTAAAGTTGTGAGAGGGGAACTGAAGAGATGTCTAATTTTAATAGAATTGAGAAAATCCTCAAATCACGTCGCTTGTCATGCTGTCACTGAAATGACAGCTCTGTGTCATGCACATTCATAAAAAATGAATGGTCGCCTGCTTGCTAGTGTGAATGTAAGGTTAGATAATGAGAATAATTAAAAAAAAAATGCACACACACACACACACACACACACACACACACACACAGCCTCAATTCCAGAAGCATATCATTTGTTGTAAAGCATTACAAAGAAGTTCCATATGTCCCAATACCCATGATCTATACTTCTAGGTTCTTCGGTTATTATGATGAATTATGTTAAATGATGAAGGATTTCTGGGGTGAGTTTGGCCCACGTAACATCCTCTCTGACTAGTTGTTGTCCTGAAGCTCTGCCACTTTCCTGTTAGGACAAAAAAAAGCTCAGGCTTTCCACTTAACTGCCCTCGCTCACGTAGGCCATTAACTGATACTGATAGCATCGCTCCTGTTACTGAAGTGTTTCCAACAACTGATTATGTTAAACGTATCTTGCTTGTGGTTAACGAGAAGTCCTTGTGTAACCCTTCCTCCCAACAGGCGTCCGAGAGTCTCGTTTTACGCTCATGTGTCTGCACGAGTCATTGGGCTACAGAGGTGCAGACGAGAGATAAGTTTATCTAACAGTTCCTGGTGTGGCTGCTTATAGGCATCAGGCAAAGAAAGTGTCCATCCAATGAAACCTCTCCAGCTCTGAACGAGAAGCTTGTCTAAAATTTTAGGAAGTAGACTTCACTCAGACATGCAGACGAGGACAGTAAACGGCGGGACTTGAGGCGCAGACGTCGTCACACGCATTATCACATGCCTCTAATGTCTGTCTGCCCAAATGATTCAGCATTTCCTAAAGGTTGCCAAAGGACATACAGCATTTATCTTTAATTAGCTTTTATACTCATGTGGTGTCTAAGGCTGTTAACGAAAAAGTATATGGAAAGAATATAAATGAACTGAAACAAATTACTGACTAATTCTACTGTTAAATCCTCCTCAGAAATTATAAATAACAGATTAAAGCTTTCATAAAGATATTTGCCTGTTTGAACTACAGCATCCTGTTTAAACTTGGGATCAGATTAGGAGTGGGCAATACTAATATTCGCATAAGCAAAGCTACAGTTGGTACAGAAATTCAGGATACACATATCAAAACAATATGTTCTAACCAAAGAACAGAATGTACACTTTTTGTTTTCACCCTCATTTTCTAAATTGCTGTTTCGACAGAGCCTGTCAAGGGCCCTCGTGGTGCTCAGGTGACAGTTGGGGACACGAAGGCAACCCTGTGTTTAAGCGTTAATGGGAAGCCACCAGCTGTCCTCGCAGGTAGATCCAGAGCCCTGCTTCCAGCCATCTGTCTATCCGCCATTACTGGCTGAGGAACGCTGAGAGAAGCGAGTAAAAAGGGAAAAGGGGTTAGGCAAAACAAGACAGATTTAGAAAGAAATGGAAAAGATACAATAAAGGAACAGAATGCAGATAAGGAGCGATAGAACCACAGTTTCAAAGAGGAAAGGAAGGAGAGGGAATGAGAAGGACTTTGATGACCCCAGTATATGAAATATACCCCAGCTGTCAAGTGCATCCCTAAGGACAACCACCCACCACCTGGACATCTTTCCCACACTCCACATCAAACCCCACCCAGTGAGGGCCGCCCCTTGCCTTAGTCATGTGACTGCGTCTCATCAGTGGGGTGGAGCAACATGAGCTCTGTATGTTAAATCTCACACTGAACCATTATTGACAGAAAAGCTAAGCTGAATCAGTAGTCAGTCTGTTCTAAACATAAAAGCTAAACCTATAGATTCTGTTATAGTAAGCACCAAAGATGAAGATCTGAGATTTCAAGAAAAAGGAATATGTGTTTTAGATAGCATTTAGACTTTTAAAATTGTAATGGCATACAATACTATAAATACTTATGTTTCCATTCAAGAAATTCATTGAATTCAGGGTCAGTTTAACATCTATATTTGTCTACTAGGTTCTATTCTATTTTATTTTATTTTTCTATTTTATTCATTATATTCTGCTTTTATTATGTTCTGTTTTATTAGGTATCACTGTTGCACTGTAGGACGAGGCACTAAGGAAAAACATTTCACTACATTAATACATCACGTGTATGTAATATGTATGTGACAAATAAAGAACCTTGAACCTTGAACCTTGAACAGTTCAGGTCAGGTCTTCATTGAATTCAGTGCCAGCACCAGATCTTTTAATGCTGGCAACATGGGGTTAAACTTACTGTGATTCAGAGGAGAACATCAGACTCTCAGCTCATGTGTGTCCACACATACAAGTAGCTAGCTAGTGGTGTTTCTAGACTATCTCTGGCGGAGGGGGTCCAGCGTGAGCCCACATGCTCCAACAGAGCAGTAGTGCTGTTTATTCACTCATGTGCAATATCGCTAATAAAATTGCTATGAGGGCAACTCTACATCGGAGACAGGTGACAAATGATTGGTCCAAACCGCCAATGGTTGGAGCTTACTTTTCAAATATCATGTTGATTGACATGTCTAGCTCAGCGGTCGTTAACTGGCTGCCCGCGGTCCGGATGTAGACCCAGCAACTCTAGTTCTAGGATTCTGCAGCAGATCATCTGTTCTAATCTAATCGCATGCATTTACTGTATATAAATTATTTATCTGAAGGCAACTCATCAGACCAGAGGCTAACTATAAGGCAAGAGACATTAGGTCAGAATGGGAAGAGTTTTAACAGACAGTCATAGATTTTTCATTTTATTTACCATCTCTGGTCTTTTTTGGGGAAAAAAGTCCATGACGAAAACAGAATAGACAGAGAAATATGTGTTTATTCTCCCCACGTCAATTTCAAAACTCATGACTCGTTTATTGTGTCTGTGGCACTAGTCAGAAGTGGTAAGTAGAAGTGATACTAAATAACAAAGCAGAACCATTTTGAATTGCCTTATTTCTAGTATTAAAAGGTAACCATTCAGTCATATTAGTTTCTTGTCCAGACCTTTGTAAGCAAGGGATTTTATGTAGCTTTACAGATATCCAGATATAGTTTTACATCCCTAATGAGTCAGAGGCGACAGTTGCTGGGAAAAACTCCCTGAGACAATATGAGGAAGACACTTTAAGAGGAAGCAATCTCAAAAGGGAACCCATCCTCTTCTAGGTAACACCAGATTATGTGATTATGCATCATTCCTCTTCCACAACTGTATTCTATAAAGTCAAACACTACTGAATGTGTTGAAAGGATCTTCAGTATGAGCATCAGGTTCTTTTTATTTGAGGTTTTAGCTTTAAATCTTTCGTACATAATGCATGTGAAGTTATCCACTGAAGAATGGATGAGATTTGAATATAAACTATTTTCAGTAAGTACAATCTTTAGGCTATCCAGGTATCTGTGTTTTACCATCCACAGCAACCTCACAACAATCTTTAGACTATCTATATGGGGCCATCATCGCAGCAGCGAGTGTTTCTCAGGCGAAGGAAGCTCCAAGCAGAAGTAGAACATCAGGGTGGGCCTGGCAGGTCTGCAGGGCAGGAGTCAGGGTCAGGTATTGTTGTTGTTGTTCTTTTGGCTGTTCCCTTTAGGGGTCACCACAGTGGATCACTGGTCCGCATGTTTAATTTGGCACAGGTTTTACGCCGGATGCCCTTCCTAACACAACCCTTCCATTTTATCTGGGCTTGGGACTGGAACTGAGAGTACAACTAGTGGCTGGGATGGTTCCCTGCCCAGGAATCAAACCTGGGCCATGTCGGTGAGCACGCGGGATCCTTAGCCTCTAGACCACCAGGGACGCCAGTCTGGGTCAGGTATTAACAGCTTATTTTTGTTGTCTTCTCTTAGGGTGGAGAGACATGCTGATCTAGCACCAGTAGACTTTCTATAATTAAGAAATCTCTCCTTCCATGCTTTTTCGAACACTACCAATTCCGTTTATTTTTTTGTGACTCCATTTACATTCTAACTTTTGAATGGTCTGTTTTAAGGTGTGAATGTGATCCTTATACCAGGATGCTAGTTTTTGTCTCTAATTATTTTTCTTTAAAGTGGGGCTACATTATGTATGGGGTGGTGGAATGTTCACTATGAATTCAGTCACCTGATCAAGTTCTGTGGAGTCCAAAGATGAAGAACCAAAGATGAAGAACCAAAGATGAAGAACCAAAGTCAGATTTTTAATAAAAATGTATACAGAAGCTGACTTGCTTGTAGGCTTGATGCAGTAACCTGGTGAACTGCATATATTATGCTTAAGACAAATTTTTAATTAAATGAGGTAGTGATCTTAGATAGCTTCAGACTGGGGTAGTGTGAATTTTTTGTTTTCTATATTTAATTCAAATATCATTATTAAATGAAGGGTGTGTCCACAATAATGATATGGTGTTAGCAAATAGTGAAACTGTTTTTTTCATTACTATTTGAAGAAGAAAAAGCCTTTATTTGTCATGCATACATTATAGTACAGTACAATTCCTTTCTTTCCATGTCCCTGCTTGTTAAGAAGCTAGGATCAGAGGACAAGGTCAGCCATGATCAGAAAGGGTTAAAGGCCTTGCCTGAGGGCCCAACAGTGGCAGCCTGGTAATACTGGGACTTGAACCCTTGTTGATCTGATCTGTAAGATAGAGCCTTTAACCACTGATCCACCATTGCCCCTAGGTTAGAGGTGTTAAACTAGAAAACTGCAGAAATATACACAAACCATACAAGACAAACTCTTCTTATCACCAACATTAACTAAAGTAGCTAGATGACTTGTTAGTGTTAGCGCTTTCATTTTTAGTAGTGATCTTAAACTAGAAAATTGCCCAGACTCTCCAGCTTCATAAGGTACACAAACCATAAACACTGTTTGTTTTAGTTGCTTGTTAGCTTGCTGGGTAGATGACATTCTAGTTAGTGTTAGCTAATACCTTTCTGGATATAAATCTTGTTGGTACTGTAGATATTTTGATGGAGAAATGCAAAGTTGTGTTAATAAATAGTGGATTTGTATGCTGCCTGCTCCTCCGAGTGGAAACCAATCAATTTCATCCAGCCTCTCGGATAGAGCTGCCTTCAGAACTATGCTGATTGGTGATTTTGCATGGCCAGTTTAGTCAACACATTCAGTGTACTAATCAAGAGACACTTTGTGCGAGAGAACACTAATATAGGAGCAGATCATTTTTTAAGATAGCTAGCAACTGAACGTTACAGACTTACATAAACTGCAGTTGATTAATTAATAGAAATTGTTAACTGGATTCATAATTCCAGAGGTTGTGCAAATGATTGTGTTATGAAATATAACTGTAGCTGTGAGCTGGTATCTAATGTCTTAAAATAATATCTTTAGTTTGTTTTAGTTGTAGCTTTTAGATTTTTGTAGCCTGTTTTTTCCCTAAAAGCAAATAATTACACAATGCACTGAATTTTGTGCTCTGTGATGTTATGCAATTGCAAAAATTGATTAGGCACTGGGCACTGGAATCATCTTAGAACTATAGCAGTGAGTAGATGGTATGTTTCACCCCTACTGGGGTAAGGAAGGACGCCGCTTTCCTTTCCTTACCAAGATTGGTCATTTCATGGCAAGGCTGATGTGTGACACATTGCGGATGTCAGTGGTCAGCTGTTGTGTTTATCACATTTTAATGAGTACAGTCCCATTGGAAACACCATCATCCCAACCACATAAATACAGAAGCTGGAAATTCCACTGTGACTACTTTTCAACAGTTTCATTAAACCAGATCTTGTCAAGTTGTCAACAGCCCATTCTAAGCAATTTCCATTCAACAACTGAGAATAAATATATCAGCAGGACATAGTTGGTGTCATCAAAACACACCAGTGTTGTCTCACATCTGAGTCTGTCCATCACTGCGGTCTCATTTAAAGCATTATATCCTCACTCCTTAACAAGCTAGTGAAATATAGTGTGGTCACCGTTAACATGCTTTCACTAGTGCCTCATTAAAGGGAACTACACACAGGGTAGTACTTTACACTAGTTCATCAGTCTCACAATGAAACCGCCCGGGCAAATTAGCTCCTCTATTCCATTTGTAAGTCTTTCATATCTGGCCTGAAATTATACGCAGATTTATTACTTAATTGGTTTAGAAAGATTCAAGTGAATTAGAAATTAGGCCTTTCAGTATCGACTGAGAATTTACCTCGGCGTCACCATAGCATGTAGAAAAAGCCTGAGCTGGTCCATAAAAGGATCTTTCACCTTTCATCTTGTTTGTGTTAGTTAAATCTCATTTTGATTGTATTTTATGTCAATTACCTTCATTACCTTTATCTAAAACCAGAAGACAGTCTCTGTAAAGCAGGAGCTTTAGTAGAAGTACCATTAGTATTTTATCCGTAATCCTTTAAGTATACACTCACTGTCCACTTTATTAGGAACACCTTTACACCTACACATTCATGCAGTTATCTATTCAGCCAAGCATGTGGCAGCAGCGCAATCCTGCAGATACAGGTCAAGAGCTTCATGTTCACATCAAACATCAGAATGAAGAAAAGATGTGAACTCTGTGACTTTGATAGTTGCATGGATGTTGGTACCAAGTGGGCTGGTATGAGTATTTCAGAAACTGCTGATCTCCTGGGAATTTCACACACAAGAGTCTCTAGAGTTTACACAGACTGGTGTGAAAAACAAAAAAACATCCTGTGTGCAGAGGGTCTGCAGGCTGAAACACCTTGTTGATGGAAGAGATCAGAGGAGAATGACCAGACTGGTTGGAGCTGACAGGAAGTCTATTACACCATAGAGCTAAATAATCATTATTCACAACTCAAAAGTGTATAAATAGTACAAGTAGTATATAAATTTGTATGTTTAGGTTGTGAATAATGATTGGCTGATTAGATAAATGCATGAATGTGCAGGTGTACAGGTGTTTCTAATAAAGTGGACGGTGAGTGTATATTACATTTGTAGAAATGTCTTAAAAGTGTTTTTTTTAAGGACGGCTATTTAAAAAGTATTATTATAATTACAAGTAATAAAATAGAAAATAAACAATTATGATGTGATGTGATACATCTTGATATGAAGCACAGTTACCACCCCAAAGTTGATTATTTTCCCATAATAGCATGTCCTGCCATGTTTTATTCCTCTTATACCACAGCAATTTGACAAGGATTATTTTATTAATGAATGACACATTGTGCTTTTTAACCATTTATAGCTACATTTAATATTGTGGAACGGCTGCGAGACAAGTTAGTTATGTTAAAGCAGCTGTAAACAGCACCTCTTTTTTTCTGTCTTTAATCTTTCCTCTGTCCTGAATACTTTCCCATGGTAGAAAACTGAATGAATTAGATTATGTGGAGCATCCAGTATACAAGTCTCTGTGAATGAGCTGTTAGTGTAGAAATGCTACCGCATTAGAAAGAGTGCATTAAAATAAACCTGTGTTTTGAATTACAGCCGGAAATACTGTCAGAGCTGCTCTAATAGAAAATTCAGTCAGATTTGAGAATCCAATGACACTGTGGTACAACATCCAATATAACACATGTGCAATACAGTACACATAATGGTGTATAACGAAGTATAATATCTTTTTTTTTTTCCATACATGTTTATTTTCCCATACATTATTACATTATTTCCATATGTTTATTTACATCATTTGGCAGACACATTTATCCAGACCAATGCAGAAAACATGAAATGATACAAAGTGCTTAGAGAATATGTAATATCATAACCTAAAAGACAGTAGACTAATGCTGGTTTGCATATGTGCAACACTTATACATACCAAACAATTACATACCCTACTCTATTTAAGCTAAACAAATATCACTGAGGCCCCCTTGAGGACCAAGTGCAAATTGCAAAATCAAAAATTTTGCACAATTACATGCTGTGAGCAGTGCATGATGGCATTCAATGAAGCTCAATGCAATGCAAGTGCAATGCTTTCCTGAACATTCAGGAGGAAAAGTGAGTCATCACATGCAATATTAAAGAACAGCTCCTTGTTTCATAGAGGTCTCTTACACACTAAACACAGAGGCCCTTGCCTCGTGCCATAAGATTAGAGGCAAAGATAAAAACATTTTAAATTAGTTATGAAGCAGCAGTACTCTGTACGATGCTAGATTTTAGTGCGTTATAAAATATTCATTCTGTTGATGTGTTTATTCTTTGGAAGGTATTTGAAAAATACACATGAAATTTTGGTGAATCTCATAATGGACAGCTCTACATGTTTCTTCTTTTCCACTTTTGGAAAATTGTATGTAGCTTATTTATTTTGACTTCGTATTCTCCCGTTAAATGTAATGCAAATCACATTCAGCAGGTGCAGTAAGGTCCTTTAAGAACAAAGTCATCTTAGTATGTAATGTGATCTCCATCTGAAACAAAAATCTCAAGTTAGAAACTTAAGTTACGCATATACACAGCACTAAAAAGACATCAAGCATCAAATTTTGGAAGAAATGCTAAGCTGTTGTGTTGTACACTAACAGTAGTACCACTGCATGTAAAACATGCATAGCATCTTCGTAAGAACTGGAATTCTTATTCAGCATTTTTGACCTGTGTCATTTGAAATATCATTATTATTATTATTATTATATTGACTTGACAGGATTGTCTATTTCGATAAAGAAATTATTACAATACCAGAAAAGTAAACTACAAAGGAAGACCATGATATCAGACCATATTGCTGCTATACTACACAATAGTTTACAGTTTACAGCCCATGTTCTGTGGATTTATTGTCCTGTGTATTTATCGTCTTGTGTATTTATTGTTTTGTGTAT